CATAATTTCTTCTTTATCACCCAAGGTCCACAATATATAAATATTAGGACATTTCAAATTGAAATAATCACATGTGTTTTCCTTAAAGTAACTAAAACCCTGGAATCACTAGGCATAGTGATAGTCACCCTTCAGAACACCCACTCTACAGTCAAGGTCTGGCTGAGATACCATGCAGCCCATTAGACAGATAGCAGTGTACATAATGGAAACAAATGGATCTTTTGGTGAGCCTTGCAGGACAGACTAAAGAACAGGAAAAATAAAATTCCATGACCCCTGATTCTGTAGGACTATTACTTACTAGATACTGAGACCTTTCATAAAAGTGCAGGTTGTGAATCTTTGTGTCCAGAAAAATAACATTATACAGTGGTAAATAGTATCTTTTGTCTTTGAATCATTTTCCTAAGGCTAGGATACTCTATCCCAGAAATGCTAATTCTTATTTTCCTGTCATAATTGTGTCTAGCATCAGCCATTCCCACTTCTCCTCTTAACTTATACCAATATGTAAACAGGAAGCCTCGTATCAAATATAAACTTTTTGTAACTTGTCCAATTGGGAAAATAATTAAATATGTTAAAAAGAACGAGACTCTATGAGTACTTGGGGGAGCCAAAATGGAAACACATTTTGAGTGGCAATGGTTATTCCTTTCTATCCATTGTGTGGAATTATGTACTTATAAAGCCACATCTCAGGAATTTATACTTCACATCACACAAAGGCCCATTTCCTATTGGGTTTATTTCAATCATTAAACAACAGCTAGTATAGACACTTGAAGACAAAAGAGACACATTTCTATGTAAGATAAAAATGACTTCAGGTTGAGGCTTCATAAAGTCTTGCTGGTGCTCATATGTGACTGACCCAAGGAGGACTTTGATGATCACTAAAAGTTTATATATAAAAATGGTTAAGAATATAGTTTTTCTTACGTTTTGAAACAGTTTGGAAACTTTGAAAACTTCTTTTGTCATGGATTTATTGACTTATGGACTTCATATTTTAATTGTAGTTTGCAGAATATTATGATAACAAGACATTTTCCTGAATTTTTTTTACGATATTAATTGTTACATTCACTACCACCACCACCATCACCAGAGTGTGATTACCAGTTTCATATCAGCAAGACAACAAGGGAACCTACATGCTATTCACTTATGCTGTTACTGAGCCCATCCATATTCTTTGACCATAGTCAAAGTCATGATCCTTAATATTTAGAAGTAAATATATGTACCACACGCAAACAGAGAGAAAACCCTATGGGAATGCTGGGCAGGTAGACACAAATTTATTTCAATATGAAGTACTCTAGAAAGGCTGCATAGTTTCATCTTTTCTTCATTAATCTCTGAGAATATTAGGTATTTAATTCAATTGACAGAGGCAGCATTTCAAAACCTGAATAGTAATTATTTTATCAAAAGGCTTCAGCGGCTTCTAGGAAAATGTAGGAAATTGAAAGCTACTTGTACATTTTCATTTTCATATCTAATCAGAACAAAGCATCAGAATGAACGCACTTCTAGCATCTTTCTCTTGCAGTCTATGACACCTAATGGAGGTCAGCCACAGTGCCATAAACTCATTGTTTTTCTCCCATTTCTCTCCTGCTCCTAAATCTCTATGCCTTTCCTCCCTGATCCTCACGGCTGCCAGTACTCTCAGCATGGCCAGAGGATCTTCTTCTTATATGCTGCAGTATGACAGCCTTTCTGAAGCTGGACAGCTTAATATCTCTGATGACACACAATACTCAGGCTTTTTTGCCATTAACATCAAATTCCTGGTGCCAACTTTAATCTCATTTCTCATTCCTCCTGTGAAGTCCATCATGACAGTGGTACAATTCATCACAGATTCCTCCTTTGGCATGCATAACTTGATCTGGAACAATCATCATTCTCCCTCCTAGACCACTGTGATGCTCTCCCCATGAACTGCCTTGTCTCCCTTTGCCCTGGATAGTATTGATTCAATGACAGCCACCATGTTGCTCTTTCGTTTTAAAAAATGTAAACAAATTTCATTCCTCTGCATAAAGCTCTCCAAATCTTTCCTTCTCTACTTTTGTTTGGTTTTTGCAGTTGGATTAGTTTGGGGAGGTAGGTGTTGCTTGTTTCCATTCTCCCTTATTTAGAGATCATTTTATGTCATCCATGATAGTCTTGAACTCTAAGTCCTCCTACCTTTACCTCTCAAGTGCAGGAATTACAGATGTGTGTGTTACCATGTGCAGGCACATCTTTCTGAACTTTTGAAAACCTAATGTCATAGCTCTAGATCCCAATGCTCTTGGAATTACCCTTCTCACCCTCCCACCCTTGGTTCCTCTCTCTGCAACAGCCAAAAGGATAAGTTTATTTACTAAAACCACCAAAAGCAACTCACTCAACCTGGGTTCTCTACCAAGAATTGTTCCACATGCCGGGCCCATTTCATTCCTTTACTTTCTGATGTAAAGTCATCTTATTAGAGACAACTTCTTCAACCTTCCTCCTTATAGAGGAAAATCAGACCATACTCATCTTAAATATGTCATTACATATGATTCTTTGTGTGTCAGCTATTCGCTAGGAGATTGACCAGCAGTGGGCTAGTCAAGGATGAACCCTTCTGGGAAGCCTACAAACGAAACAAAGCACAACCACAGACATACCTTCTTCTATCTTGATTACATCATAAATGAACAACATAACCTTTCAAGGCAGTGGCAAGGACCAAGAAAGGAACTAAAATGTATACTAGCACTTTTGAATATTTGCTTGCTTTGGTCATGTGATCAGCCACATAGTCAGTGTATGAATTTGGTAAAAAATCTGAAAGGAAGGAATATGAACAAAAGAAGACTTGAATTGATCCCATAGGTATAATTAATCCACAATAGGCAAAAGCTCAAAAGGACAAGATACACATGGAGGTAAAATAAAAAGGAAGAAAGAAAAAGAAAGCAAAGAGACAGAGAAAACAAAGTAAAAATGAAATAGGCTTGAGAAGGAAAGAGATGGGAAAGAGGTAGAAAATCTGGAATGTAAAATGTGGAGGTAAATTGGTAGAAGGATGCAGGGGCTAAGACATATGACCCAATAAACATGGTCTGCTGTCTCCATCCTGAAAATTGGAGAGGAAGAAGTATTTCCACACCTCAAAATTATCTGCGACTGTATCCCTAACTCACAGTGTTGGAAATTGGAAAAAAAAAAAGACGAATGCCATCAATGAAACTTTAATGTTAATTCTAAACACATCTTTAAAATATTGTTTTGTAGAGAGATTTTGATAATATGCTTATGTGCTTTTTTTTTCTTTGTTGCCTTGGAAGTCTCTTTTAAATCCCAGTAACATTATGTTACTTCAAAACATAGAGTATAAATATTGGGTACTAATACAATGTGTATGTTGATCAACTTTCTTTTCACTATAAAAATATACCTGACATGAGTAACTCACAAAGAAAAATGGGTTATTTTGACTCTCTGTTTTCTAAATCATATTTTTAGATAGCTTTATGTACTCCTAGGTATCTTCAAACTCACAATATATTCACAAAATGACCTTAAACTTCTAATTCTCCCACATCTACCTCCCCAGTGCTGGATTACAAGCATAAATCACCATGTCCTTTATTTTGGTATTAATAATTAAAACTTACAAGGACTCCATGCATGCCAGGCAATCAGTCAACCAATTTAGCTATGTCCTCAGTCTCTTATTAATTCTTCCAATCCAAAATTAGATAAAATTTTTTTCTTAGAATTCTGATGTTGATGCCAGATGGCAGTGCTAGGGAACTCGTGGTGGAGCTACAGTAAATAAATAAATAAATAAGTAAATAAATAAATAACCAGCTACCTTATTAGCCAGACAACAAAAGGAAAGAGGAACATATCTCACAGTCTCCTGGAAGAGAATGCCAAAATTACTTAACAGTAACCCATTAGACTTTACCTCTTTTTAAAGACCTATCACTTCCAAAAACTACTACCCTGGTGACTAGCCTATAACACATAGTCTTTTGGGGAACATGTAAAGTCCAAATTGTTGAAATTCCTATGAAAGAAAGGTGATACATTAATACTGAGAACTTATTTCTATGTCACAAAATGAAATATATCACCTTACATTGTTTAGAATGGGAAAGGCTGTTACAAAATTTGAAACACTCAGCCCTCACCTAAAAGACTGAACAACGTACCCGAAACCATGGGAATAGGAAATGCCATTCCCAGCCATGATTTCAATATGATTCCACAAAGTTCTGAAATAAGATTATTTGTCAAGTTCAACAAAATAGCCTTTTACAATTCCATGATGTCACAGGAACAAATAAATTTCTTTCCTGCAGTTCAACTCCCGTTCTTCATATTGCTATGCTGTTTACTATGGCTAATACAATAACATCAGATTAAATGTGCCATTCTTACAAATTTTACTTTAGCATCTGTGGAGTGTGTGTTTGAGTGTGTGTGTGTGTGTGTGTGTGTGTGTGTGTGTTTCACGGCACAAATGTCAAAATCAGTTGATAACTTTCCAAGAGTCTATTCTCTCCTTCTGAGGCCGGGTCTTCTTGTTTCCTCTGCATCCTCCTAGCTTGCTGTAGGAGTGCTGGGCGAAGATGTGGACCACTGGGTCAAGTCTTTCACATGGGTTCAGGAGATAAAACTCAGGCTATCAAAACTCAAATGGTTTCACATACCAAGATGTTTCCCTGTCCCATCAGATACATTTGTTATTGAATTATCCATGGATGGCCCCAATCTCTTTCTACGTGAAGATTTTCTAGTGCATTTCTCCTTCTGTTTTTATTCCCTAATATGTTAGTTATTAAATACTGGCTTATTTCTGTTTTTATGCATGTCAATCTAGTAATAAAGATAATAAGCATATTCAGTAGAATCATTCCTAAATCCAGAAGGATAGACAGAAAGGAGTTCTAATTTGGAACTGATAAATAATGTCTCATGTATAATCAATGTGCCCTAGGCTTTTAGCTGAAAATATAAGTATATGCCATATCACAGTTTTTAACTTCCTTAAGATTCAATTTTAGGCTACTAGACCTGAGAAATCCTATATCACCTTGCGAGTTTTCCTAGGTGCTATCACTAGCATTACTCCTGATTGACTTAACTATACATTAACCAATCATGTATTACGTGACTAATATAATCATCAGTGATGGTGTGATTAAATATATGTTACACAATATTTTTAGTTTTATAGGTCATCATATTTATAGAATTATAAACAGGAATTTTAAAACTCCATAAATTAAATATAAAATGAATTGTGTATGAAAACTAATAATAATAAGAAGAAATAATTTCTCTTATAGAAATTACAGCCAGTACAAGACATGGTATACTTGTGCATGAGATACTTTCATAGCTCCTAATAACAATTATATTTCTGAGAATCTATTTCTATCACTATGAAGTTGCCAAACACATGACTCAATGCTTCCGCGTCTCTATATCTCATAGATAGCATTAAATGGATGTGATTCAAGACAATGTCATTTATTTTCTGTGATATTCTGTGTGCTCTCTAGTTACTGATCTCTATAATTTTATTATATACCTTAAGTGTGATGAATACTTCCCTATGACTGAGTACCATTCTTGTCTAATACACAAACATCTTCTGTTTCTATTCTAGATCCCTGTCTTGGTCACACAAATAAGCTCCATCAACCACCCAGTGAAAGTCGGATTGTCTGATGCATTTGTCGTAGTCCACAGGATCCAGCAAATACCCAGTAGGTAGAAGAAGGGTAACTAAGAGTTGATTCTTCTATGGGGCTCAATCCTAAGAGCAATGACCTCAAACTGATGAACTTCAGAAAAACCCACTAAGCTAACTGCTACTTGTTAATTCTATTATGTGGTTTATATTAATAACTCTTGTTGGGTTTGTCTATTTCCATTACTCTGGAACTGATAAACTTAGAGAAAGAAAAGACAAGGTCCATCCAAAGACATTTAACTGTGGCTGTTTTAGGACTCTTTTGTATACATGTTCAGTTGAGTAGAAAGAGTTCTGTAATAACAAAAGCACAAGCAGAAAAATGGTTGTAAAACAGTGACAATTATTTAGTTGACAGTCCCTTATCATCCCATGTTTGTTTATTAATTTTTAATAGTTTTGTGAAAAAAACATGGTTTGTGCCATTTTATAGTTATCATGTTTTATCAAAGCAGGAAATTTAAGCAAATATATATATATGTAAATGAAATTGTCTCTACCAGAGAAGACACATCTCTCCTTTTTGATAATACTATTTTTGCTGATGTTGTTTATAATTAGCAGGCAGAAAACATTCATTGCTTGCACAGTTGTCCATGAATTCGTCAGAATAAAATGTTGCTAGAGTTATACATAGGAGTAGAGAATGCACTTAGCATGTGTAGAGGCCCTGAATTCATCAAAGCATCAAAACAAGAACAAGAAAAGAGAACGTTTTTGTGTTGGTTGTATTTTGTGTGGTTCTGACCACCTTCTAAATGTCCTGACTTTTAAACCTCCTCTACTTTACTGCCAAAATAATCCTGAGAAATCCTTTAGGGTTCAAATCTGGAGAGCATTTGTTTGCTCCCTTAAATATGTTTACTTAAAGCAAGGGGTAATAGTGAAGTTATTTAGAAAGTAGAACATGTACTTCCCCATTTTCAAGTCCTTCCTTTCTTTCACTAAGAGTAGACTTAATTTATCACATATATGCACTGCTTGGAACAGACTTGAGATGATTCTGTTTAATTATGTCATCTCTCAATTGCAAGAAGTAAATGGAGTGGAAACTAGACTTTCCAAAGAGATGGTGTGACTGCTAACATTCAAGGGTTCTCTTGGCACAGGATGGCTTTTTTTTTTGTAAGTGAAGATTATACTCAGTTAAGAACATGTACACCCTCCAGCTTTCTCATTGTTATCTCAAGGACAGTAACAGGTAATATTAAAAAAATTTAAATCAAAGCAGATTTTTCACAAAATTAATTGCGCTGAGTACAAAGCAAAGATGCATAAGGGTATGTAAGGCAACATAAAGGCTTCCTGAGAGAACTCTTAAATAGGAGAGTGAGCCCAGGAAAGTCAAGAATGCCACTGTTAGAGAAGGAGTGTCTGCACATTCTTCCTCTCAGGGGAGTTAAATCAGGCATAACCTGAGTCAGTTATTCAACAAGAAAAAAAAGGAGTACTTTTGCTTTGGTTTATTTGTTATTTCTTTCCATGCATGGAAGAGGGCTTATGTGCTTCTTGACAAAAGGCACTGTATCCCATACTGCTGTTCTGATACACTGCTTCAGAAAGAGCAAACCTACCAAAGAACAAAATATTATGTTCTAGAAGTCTTTTAATATGCGATATTGTGTTTGTGTTTTTCCTAATCATATAGTTGTGCTTGGAACATAGGGTCCTAAAATGTGATTTAGGAAGCATGCTCAGGCTGTGAAAAGATAATTTTAAGGGAAAGAATTCTCTAAATATAAATTACATTAAATCAACTGGTCAAATCCTGGTGAATCTTGAGAGCAGATTATGTATGCTGTTAAGACTCAGTATCCACTTCACAAACATTACCGAGATTCAGAGCCAATCCATTCCCCTGCAGCTGCCAGCTTGGAATAACACCCGCAGCTCTTATTGACCTTACTATTCATTCCCCAGGAAAAAAATATTAGCCAAGAAGAAATGGAGTCTCTAAGGCTCCCCTCCTGATGCTTTATCAGGCCACAGTGAAACATGAAGATTGATGTGTTCTGCTTTAAAATCATTCCAGGAACAGGAAAATGTTACTCTCTTCAACAATTCGTCCACATGTTACAGAGTGCACCAGTCTGTCACATAAGCTGCTGTATGAGAAAGCCATAGCTCCGTTTAATGATCAGCTGAAAGAGAAAATAAATACACACTTTTTAACGTCAGAACATAGAAAACAGAAGGTGTCTGTAATACAAAGAATGACCCCACTCAAACCCTCTAATCCCAGGGAATAAGATCATTTCTAGAGACTCATTATTTCCTCCTACCTATGCTAACAGAACGTAGGTAAATATTTAAGTCCCTTGCAAAATTATGTTACGAAGTTTCACTGTTGGGAACAATCCCCGTGTAGATTTTGTTTCTGCTCTTCTCACTGAGTTTATTTTGAGAAAAACCAATTATTAATCCAAGCAATGGGCACTTTGTTTCATTTCATAGTTATGCTAACTCTCTAGGGAATGGTCATAGATGTCACTTCTTATGTTAACATTTGCTAATGACATCTGCTTGCCCCTCTCTCCTCCCACTTAGTATTTCAATGTTCAATTCTAACTTTTGGGTGCTGACCGACCTTTTTCATCTAGCCTCACTGCCCCGTTGCCCTCCGAGCTTAACAAAAAAAAATTCATTTCCTGAAATAAAACTAAAAAATTCATAGTGTTATATGGGTCGCTGAAAAACAAAGGAACTTAGAACTGTGAAACTTATTTTAACACACAAATAAAAGATTAGCAAGGAGGCTTAACTGTATAGCTGCTGAGCTAGCTAAAATGTTCTATCACAAGCCATGAGATGGGCAGTTTACAAATCTCTTAGGATATTTCCATCTATACTTCTCGTTGATACTGGCTGGCACTTTTATACATCAGACACTTTCTCATCAGTAATTCCTATGTCAAATGTGTTGACCTTTCCTTGGTTCCATTGTTATACTGCACATCTCAATAAGAACACCCTGTTGTTTCCAGAAGAAAGAAAAGAAACTTGAATTAATTTATATTGCAGAGTGTCTCAAAAGTCCCTACCTTGTATTTGAGCTTGAGAAGAGATTCATTGGTACATGTTTTGACATAAGAGCAACGTTTTCCCACATTTGCAGACATAACAACTGTTCCAAGGAGTTAGACAAGTTTATGTAGAATAGCTTTAGCTTTAATTCTCAAAGAGATGGTACCAGAACAACACACTGACCCAGAAGGCTGCCTTTCTTGCTCATCAGGTTCTGCACTTGACCATGAGCTTACTACATAAATGTGACAAAGATACACTTCTATTTTGGATACTAACCTGAAATGTTAAATTTTAAATTATACTAAATTAGTTAATTTTAAGTTCAGAAATAGCATGTGACAATTGGCTGCCATAGTAGACATGGCAAAAATAAACTGTATTCACACATATATTTAAATAAATTTTGACTACCATGTACAATACTTACAGAAATAATATTTTCACTTTTAAAATAACTTAGAGATTAAATATGATTAATAATGAATTTTCCAGTATAAGTGTACCCATTCAATAGTAAATTTGGAACATAGCAATTATAAAAACAGTAATTTATAATTTTGATTTGATGAGTACCGTCATTTGTAACTTAACAATTATAACTTTTAATGTGAGATGAAAACACAAACAATTGTGTGATTTTATTTCTTCTAAATTATTTCACAGTACTTGCATTTCAAGTGCTTCCAGAAGAGCCTAGTTTATTATTTTCAAAGTCCTCCATCCTTCCATACACTTACTCCAGATCAGCCTATAAATGTCCAGTGAATGATGTAAGCTGATCTCCATTCTCTCCAAGTACAAAGCCTTTCAAAATTATTCATTCTGTAGAATGTAAAATTACTTCCCTTTGCAGCAGTGTCCCTTTAGCTCCTTTGATTCTTGGGCCTTTGGTACCTCACCAAATGCTCAATGAAAAGACAAGTAAAAAAGCATACTCTCTGTTATAAAACATCCTCTTATTAAAGCGCATTCTGCAAAAAGACATTTTTCTTTAATTCATAAATTATTAACATTCTTTATTTGGTTGGTCTTGACTTGATTTTTTCAAAATGTGTTTAGATGGAGGTGGTAGTGTTTGTGATTGTGTGTGTGTGTTTGTGTGTGTGTGTGTGTGTATGTTTGTATATATATGTATATGTAATATGAATATATATATGCACACACATATACACATACATACACACACACACATTTGTGAGGGTATATGTCTCTTTGTGTGTGCATGTATGTTTGCATGAAAATGTGTGTGTGTGTAACAGAATGTGTTTGTGTGTTTGAGAGAATATGTATTTGAATGTGTGTCTGTTTCTTTGCGATTGAAAACAGGGTGCTAGTGGCATATATCTCTTCGTGTCCATACAGAGACCATAACAGGACGGCTTTGTGGGTCCTCCTCTGTCACTGTCTTCCTTATTGCTATGAGACAGCCTATCACTGAACCAGAAGCTTTGCTTTCCCTATAGGCTAGTTGGCCAGGAGCTCAGGGATTTGCCTGTCTGCACACTCCACAGAAAATCTGGTGAGCAGCCATGTCCAGCCATTTGCTGACTGGTGTGAATTCGGACTTATCTTTTGTGAATTGGGCAAGTGCCCATGACTATCCAATCTCCCAGCCCACTGAGCTGAATTTTAAAAAAATAATAATAATATAAAAAAAAAGTTTACCAGAACTCAGAATCTCAGAATTTTTTGGATATTAAAAAATACTAATTCATAATCTTTAAACATCGGAGAACTTCTGTAGGGATGGCATGAACAAGAAACCCCTCCCTCAGGAACTCTAGTTAAGCTATTTCATTTAATTTTTTGTGTCTTCATTGACTTTAATTCTGAACCCCCATATGCCAAGGAAAACCAACTTTTTAGTTACTTAAATTCCCTTTTGATTTATTCATAGTAGCCAATTTATTTTGCTTATAATGTAAAGTCCTAAGCATCACAGAAATGGTTTTAACACAAGGTTAAAGTGCAGGCATCTGTACGTTTGTTTGCTCAGTGCACATTTGCTGGATGCTGAATGGGACAGAATTAATTGATGTAAGTAAGCCAGAGTGAACATAAGTGTTTTTGTACCACTCAACCACTGGATAAAGAGCTTATCTTTGCAGACCCTTCTCAGTAATTGCCTTATTCCATAAAGCAGAGGACACATGTTTAAAATCAATCTTTACTGAAATTTGCTACCCAGCTAGAATTGAGTTTGTTTGTTAAATTGTAACATGATACTATATTCTTTTACTTTTCAATTTTTTATTTGCCTCAAATTTTTACCATCATTTTATTAATTGCTTCTCTCACCTATCATATAACAAATATTTGTTTAATTTACACCTACCTACTATGAGAGGAAGATTGTAATTTTAATCAGCTTGGTTACCACTTATAAAGCTTTTATAATATTATAAGCATATTATAAAACATATTATAAACACTTATAAAGCTTGGTTTACACATATAAACATGCTTGCATGTTAATTTTCCCAACTGAATTTTGATATTGAAAACTTCATTTTCAGTACAGTTTGGACCACTGTGGTGTAAGTCTGATATCTAAATGATTGAGCCCTAAATGCTATTCCCTCTTTTGACTGGGCTTGCTTTGCTCAATACTTGGTTCTAAGGTTGAAAAAAATTATACTCTGTTCCACAAATTTCCATTTCATACAGCATCATCTCTTTCTTTCTCTCTCTGAAAGAAATAATATAATTAATGGCATGAGTCTTAATAACTAATGACATGAGATTTAATGACATGAGATTTAATGACATGAGATTTAATGATATTATAAGTTGGTGTTACATTATCTTTCTGCAAGTCTTGGGAGCAGGGAGGTCTACTTCTCTAGGACCCAGAGAACCATGTAAGACACAGGCTATGAGGATTCCACACTGTCCTCCTCTCCCAACCTTGATTCTAACTCTCTGGGCAGATGACTCCTGACGGGAGCCAAGAAATGAAGCATGTTTGAGCAGCTGTCAGGTTGAGGAATGAAGGAGGAGCGAGTGTGGTTATTTTTCCATAGGGATGATTTCCTTTACACATGAGAAATTAACTGATGAAACATGACCCTGAGGCTTAAGCAGTATCCTGAACCTTGCAAAGTAGTTAGATATTGATAAAGAAGTACCCAAGGTGAGGTAGAGATGAACCAAGATTCTGCTGTTTTATTTTATGTTTGACTGACATTTTCTGGAAGTAGAACAGAATTAGAGAAGAAAAAACTTCATGGCTAACACATTAAAATGTTTTTCTATGTGCTTCATTTTTTAACACCTAATACCTAAGTCTGTTACTATCTCTTTGGATGGGAAACATATAACTGTTGAGATAGTATCCTGGTTTTCCTTTTTGTTTACTTTCTCTGGGTCTTCATGTTGTGCATGAGCCTTGTGGTGTACAGGATCTACTGGTTACAAATACTGAGTACCTGGTGCTGAGGGCTGGGATCAATTTGTACTAGAAAACAAATCCATGATATAATCATCTGGAGCCAATCATTAAGCATGGGCACTGCAAATAAGAAAATAGTAGCAAAACATGTGTTGGACCAGTCAAAGCATGAAGATAGTTAATAAATGCAAGGATAGGGTAACACAGAAAATTACCATTATCTTGTGAATATTAGCTTTTGAGGCAGGAATGCAAAGAAGAAGAATCCAGTTAATCCAGTGGGGATGGATGTGGAGAGGGAAAGGAGTCATAGAGTTTCTGTGTAAATGAACACAGTGTTCCTACCCTGTTAGTGGTCAGATTTTCTCAAACCAACAGTGTAACATTTACACATTGAATCATATTATGAGCATATCTCCATCACTGGACTGTATTTTCTCTGGGCATTACTCTGTGAAAGTTTATCTTATTTTCTGATTTGTAAACGTCATTCATTGATAAGTATTACAGTCAATCTTAAGGTTTTTTAAATATAAGAAAGTAATTGAAGTAATGAACATTTATTGTGGCGTATTTTCTTGAAGACACAAGAGCTAAATATATTTCTGAAATCATATGATAGCTTCTAAGTTTGGCAGGGCCAACAATGAATAAATCCCTAATGAGTTGATTTTTTTTAACAGAATCATCTCTCAAATATGACAGAAGCAACCATTTGGAAACTGTCATTGACTGGCAGGTCACCAAACAAAATGATTCTCATTAATTTTAGCCTTGTTAAATTTATCTCCTGTAAATAGTTGGTGACTGAGCAGGCAATTGACCCACCATCCTTACACACTGCCACTAGCTGGGGTTTTCAAAGTAGAATACGAATGAACAGTGTACTAATGTGGTAAAAATCAGCTTATATGATGGGCATTTTCCAAACTTGCCAAACTTTCCCATGTGTGCAAAACACACAGGAAAGAAATATATTAAAACGTATTCTACACAGACAAAAAGAAAAAATGGACAGTCATTTGCTTTGCTTCAAAACTTAAAGACAAAAGAAAATGGTATGATTCCTTACTTCAAAGAAATGTACATAAAGAAATGATTATTTTTTCTAATGCTTGAGGAAGTTTTTCTTCCTCAGTTATTAATGATTGAGAAGAATACATATGATTCTTTCAATTACACAACAAATAAATTAATTTGATTAGTTTCTTTAGACATTGTTTTCCAGTCTAATGAACAAGACAAGCTTTATAGTGAGTGTCACAATAAATACAAATACATATACTTTCCCACCTAAGACAGCTTCAAGCTAATGTCTACCCAGGGAAGAGCATGCTAATTACAAAATTAATCCTCTATATCTTGTACATATATAACCAGAAGTGTTTTTTATCAATGATGTGGAAAGTGCAAATTGATATTTATAATATTTCTCTGAATGAGTAGGCCTCTAACTCACTCTACCACATGCACAACTTTAGAGGACCCTTGATAGGTTTTCATAGTTTGAAAGACTTGAACCATGGCAAGATGACACAGCTTCTCCCTAGTTATAGCTGAAGTAGCTTTCTTTCAGTAATAGGGAGCATTTGCATGTCTGTTATTAAAATGTTCTTGTTTATAACTGGAGAAATGGTCAAGGCTGACTCTCCTTCTCTTGTTATTTATATAGATGTTCGAAGAAGAACAATTTATGAATATCACCGAGTAGAACTACAAATGTCTAAAATTACCAACATTTCAGCTGTGGAGATGACCCCACTCCCCAGTAAGTCAATTTCAGAAAGTGAGATGGGAAGAATATTTTTCAAGTTTGACAAATGGATGTTTAATAATTTGGTTTATAAATATCACGTTCAGCATGGAATCCAAATTGTGCTTGTCAAAATGAGAATCCTGACCCTGAGTGTGCACAGGGATTGGTATGGTCTTTAGTTTGAATGAGTAGTCCCTCTTCTCTCCTCACTGTCAATGAGCCTTGATCCCTCTGTTCTCTGCTGTTTCTTAGCATGTCTCCAGTTCAATGGTTGCGGTCCTTGTGTGTCCTCACAGATTGGCTTCAACTGCAGTTGGTGTAGCAAACTTCAAAGGTAAAGCAATAATTTATATATACCATATTTTGTATTTAGAAACACTTGATCACTATAAACACTAAGTGATAAATTTTGTGAACCGTATGGATCCTGTATTGCATTAGTGTGAACATATATGTGTGTGTGTGCATGTTAATATATATGTATTTTAGATATGAACATATAGGCATAATTAGACAGACTAACATGTAAAACCAATGTGCTTGGAAAAGGAGATTTCAATATATTCTTTTGTCAGATGCTTAAAATGACTAAGAACCTCTATAATCTATAAGGCCAGAACCTGACATAGGCTTATCATTCTCTACAGGGCTTAAAATACATCATGATGTATATTCTAAGCCTTGGATGGATAGTATCATCCCTTATTCTACAGAAAGCATGGTAAAAACTATATTTTCCACAACAGTGATATATTCCAGTAATCAAATACATAATCTTAAATTTTTCCTATCAAGTAGCTGAAAGGTCATAAGTCAACATTACTGATGGTGGCTGAAGTTGACGTCACCTGACATTCCTATGATTGGAATGTGTATGTTGTCACTTTGACCTTTTATTCTAATTGACTTGAAACTTCAGATGCATAGTTTACTCATGTCAAAAAATATTTACAGTTTTTTATCAATGGTAAAGAAGATTGTCCAATCTCAGGGGTTTTAAAGAAGCTGAAGAGTGTGAGATATGTATGACACTGGAAAGATTGCCATGACTCGAAATACTGTATGGATGTACTCCAACCAAAAACTTGTATAAATTAGTGAAACTGAAATGAGTCAAGGAGTGATCATCTCAGCGGTTGATTCTAAGAAAAGTAGAATGTATTAATTATAATTCTCTAGTAAAACAAATGATGAGAATGGCTATAAACTATAAAAAGAGCTATAGTAGATTGGCTTACACAATATAGCTCTAGGAAGATCTACTATGGATGGCTAATGCTAAAGGGGCTGAGAGTCCAGCTTTTATGCCTATGATGCAGAATGTCCCAGTAGTCCCAGTATGATTCTGAAGGCCTAGAAAATTCTCAGAGAGCAGCTGCCATTTGTTTATGATTGAAGGCAAAAACAGCTTGGGTTTCATGTTAACAACAGAAGTAACAATAGGGTCTATACTCATCATAAAACCCAAAGGTAAGCAGGAAAACAACAGTGATTTTAATAAGACCCTAAATGCTACATTCTCTAGAGCAGGGTTTTCAGATGAATTTAACTATTCATGGGAATGCCATTTCCAACAGGTCTGGAGGCATGTCGAATAGTTGATTTCAGGTCCAACCAAGTTGACCATTGAGGGTTGCCAGGGCGCATGGCTGTAGAAGATTAATACAGAGACTGTTAAGAAGTCACTTTGTTCACTGAACCATTGTGCACATCAAGTATGTCCAAGGTGCTTGAAGAGCAGTAATGAAGAACATGAACAGGATCCCTGCACCCAGATGAGGTTATAGCCTCCATCATTAAGAGTCTTTATAAGGTCATCTTCTCCCTCCAAATGATGTTGCTTAGTGCTTGCTAGATAGAGGACAGATGCTGGCCCTTCATTCAGCTGCTGCAGCATTTTTGCCATGCTAAATGCATGTTAAAAGACATGTTAAATGTTACTGAAGGATTAAAGATTGAATGTACAGTTTTCATGACAGTAGGAAATATTTTTATTTTATTACTTTTTATTTTTTTTACAGTCTAGTCATTACGTCCTCCTGGTCTTCTCTTACACAGTTTCACATCCCATTCCTTCTCCACCTGTCTCCAAGAGACTGTCCCCACTCCTCACCCCACCCCTGCCAGGCTTCCCCAGTTACAGGGTCCTCAAGTCTCTCAAGAGTTAGATGCATCTTCTCTCACTAAGGCTAAACAAGGCAGTCCTCTGCTGAATAGGTGTTGGGGGCCTCTTACCAGGTAGCTTCTTACCTCTGTATGCTGTCTGCTTGGTGGCTCAGTATCTGAGAGATCTCAGGGTCTGGTTTAGTTGAGATGGCTGGTCTTCCTATGGGGTCACCCTCTTCCTAAGCTTCTATCCATTTCCTAATTCAACCATAGAGGTTCCTTACGGTTGGGTTCATTGGTTGGATGTAAGTATCTGCATCTGTCTCAGTTAGCTGCTTATTGGGCTTCTCAGAGGACAGTTATGCTAGGCTTCATTTATAAGCATACCATCACATCAGTTATAGTGTCAGGCCTTGGAGCATCCCCATAAGATGGATACCAAACTGGGCTTCTCATTGGGCCCCTTTTCCCTCAGTCTCGTCTCCATTTTTGTCCCTGCAGGTCTTTTAGACAGGAACAAGTCTAGGTTAGTGTTTTTGACTGTGGGATGGTAACCCCATGCCTCCATGTGATGCCCTGTCTTTCTACTGAAGGTAGATTCTACAAGTTTCCTCTCCCCACTGTTGGACATTTCATTTTTAGCTGGCTAACTTTAGAGTAACCACTACAATATTGTGCAGTTAGAACATTGTTTATGAAAACCTTAGTTTTGCTTTCAATTGAACATGTTGTACTAGCCATTTCCTTTGAAAAATGAATTTCAAATAATGAAAAACCAAGCAGGCAGTTAACACTTTTCAAAGCAGTATTTAACTGAGTTATATATGTTGAGTAGGCAAAGCCACTATAAATCAAAGATCGGTGCTTATATGTGTATTTGCTAAGATGTTTTAAAAATAACAGGCATATCAGAAATCATTCAAAATTTGTTTAAATACTGACTTCTGAAATAAAAAATGCTAAAACTAATTGAGTAAAATATGCTGATCAACAATATTTATAGCTGCTTCAAGATCAAAGCATCCCAAAGCATTACCATTAGGGTAAGGGTTGTTGGTGTTTGTAGATTTGTTCATATCCTTTGCATGTTTGTTAAAGGTAAAGACCATGTATAATATTTCCTTTTACCTCCTTTGTCTAGAAATACATTGATATTATATTATTTAATTATTAAATTATGATTAGTTTCTATATAAATAAATCATGTATATGTTTTTCTGGGACTCAAGGATGTTCCAGAATAAGAAACTTCTAATCCTAATACCATAAGTTTTGTGGAAAACCAGCACAAATTCATGACCCTTATTAGCTATGAGGGTTTTGCTTTGGTTTATTATTTGAAATAGGGTCTTCCTGTGTAACCTAGGGTAGCCTTGAACACTGCATCATTCTGCCTCAGATTTCTACACAGTAGGGCAGCAGACATGTACCATTTTTGGATAATTAGAATTTCTGTCTAAAATAGTGTTTAAGTAATTGAACATTTTGAAGTCTTGCTTAGAAACATACCTAAGGTCAACCACTTTAGAAATATGCATTCTGTTGAAATACATATTGTAAAAAAGCAATTTTCAGTTAAAGCATTCTCATGAGTTGAAATTCTCTTCTACTGTTAGATTTTTTATTTTGTTGAATGATTACTCAGCCTGTATAGCATACTGAAGAGTTTATGGGTATTGTATTTAAGAGTACATTTTAGAAGAATATATTGTCAGAGGAAGCCAAGGTGCTATGGCTAAGATACTTCTTCGGGGTGTCCAGCCTGGTAAGTGATAAGTCTTGATATTGAATTTTAATCTGTGTGACTTCCGGCTTTTGGGTTTTTTTGCTCACCTGGTCTGCTTGCATCTGACAGTTGGATGCATTAAGCAAGCTAATTTTAAACCAGCACATCCTTGATGCTGCAAGAAAATTGGATGACTTCTCAAAATGGCATAACCAAGATATAAAGAAGGGTCACCTTATGCCTATGACCTGTGCATATTGTTTATAACATAGTAAATATGATACAGGAAGTGATTCCTAGGATTCTGCTGACTCTTACCAACACAAGTATGTGTTTCTACACATGTTGGATATGGAGACTCACATTTAAAATATCAGACTCAGTTTTAATTTTGAGCAACCCAGTTATATACATTCCAAAATGTGTCTCATTAATTGGTTTAACTATGGCTCATTGCCTTTTATTCATGTTAATTTCCCCACTGCATTTTACTAATTTCTCCATAGACCTGTAAGCATCCAAACTCAGCTTTGCTGTTCAGCATTATTTCTGCAGACTTTGGTACATTTATCAAAAAATACTAAACAAAACAAGAGACATGTTAGATTAAGCAGCACAAATATCACTCTGGTTGTTTGATCCAACTATTCTTTCTCTCTTGCCTGTGCTCATTTAGCCTAGACTGATAATAAGCAACTAGCAATTACTCAACTCTCAAATTGAGCTTGCTCAAAAAAAGATTTAATTTAATTGTTTTGTTTATTTCCATTAATTCCCACTTTGAGGAAGCAAAAATTAAGGCAAAATATATGCCATGCCTGGCCCAGTGTCTAAGAAGATTTGCATTATAAGTGCACATAAGGAGATCTGGTATTGAAAGGACTTAATGAAAATACTTAGCTCATGTTTTTCAAGGGAGCTGTGTGTTTATTCCCTCTCTGTGAATTGAATTTGAGCTAATCATTTTAATTTTAACATGTATCGTCACATTACATACATTCAAGAATTAAGTCTCTGTTCAAGTTCCTGTTCAAGACTATATATTGAGTAGGACAGAGGGAGGGGAAGAAGGAGAGAGGGACAGAGAGAGAGAAAGAAAAAGAGAGAGATTCAGTTCACTAATAAATGAACATTTTGGCACGGGGAGATAGTCTTTGAGCAAATACACGTAGAGTGAATAGATAGTACTATTGGGAGCTTCAGTAAGAGAAACATTAAGAGCAGATATATAAAAGATTTTAAGAAAAGAGTTTTACTGACTTGGTTTTTATTTGATTTTTAAAACTAACCATATAAAGAATGGTTTCATTATCATCTTTGTATACATATAGATCATTGTACTTTCTTCAAATGTATGCCCAATACCCAATTTTACCCCCTACTCCATGTGCTGACCACATCTTCCCAAATAATTCTTTCCTTTCATGTCACATAAATATGTACATGTGTTTATATCAATATTAATACATTATATATGTATATGTATTTTAAAACTAGATTCT